GCCAATAATTCAGAACAATATATTACTTTCTCAGTTGGCCAGCTTCAATTTATTGATAGCATAAAATTTTCGTTACCTGGTTTAGCTAAGATGGCAGAAAACTTGCGTGATGAAAAGAAGGGAGAAAACAAAACACCAGAACAACTAGCAAAATGTTTTCCAATTATGTCGAAATTTATCTCACCTCATTTATTATCATTGCTTACATGTAAAGGAATATTTCCATATCAATGGTTAAATAGCAAAACGAAATCTAATGAGACACAACTACCTTCACGTAAGGATTTTAATAGCGATTTAGATGGATATAATTATTGCAAGCATGGGTGTGAAAACAAAGAATGTGAGCATGAAAAAGTTTATACAATATCACAAAAGGATTACGATTTCGCACAAACAGTTTGGCAAGAAACAGAATGCAAGACTTTTGGTGATTATCACGATATCTATCTTAAGACAGATGTATTAATTCTAGCTGATGCATTCGAGGCTTTCCGAAAAGCTTCATATTCAGCATTCAAACTCAATCCAGCAAATTATTTAACGGCACCAGGTTTAGCATGGGATGCATGTATGAAGGTAACTAAAGTAAAATTAGAATTATTTCATGAACATCAAGGAGATATGCATGACTTCTTTACAGCTATGAAAAGAGGAGGAATGTCCTTAGCTCGAAGGCGTATAGCTCGAGCAAATATTCCAGGGTTAGAAGGATATGACGGAAAAAAAGCGAAAAAATGGTTACTCTATTTGGATGCCAATAGTCTTTATGGTTGAGCAATGAGTCAATATTTACCAACCGGAGGATTTAAATGACTATCAACAAAACCCCTCGAAGCTACTTCCCCATTAGTGCAGAAAATTTTATCATTAAAAGAAAAATCAAATCGAGGATGCTGTTTGGAGGTTAAGTTATCGATTCCTAAAGAGTTGCATCCCAAATTTCGAGATCATCCAATGTGTCCAGAACTAATGAAAGTACCATATGATTGGTATAGTTCAAAACAAAAAGAATGGGCAGGTAAACAATGTTCAGAAAAACTTATACTAACTCTCCACGATAAAGACCATTATGTTATTCATTATAGAAATTTACAGCAATGTATAAGAGAGGAATATGTTCTCGAAAAAGTATATCGAATTCTAGGTTTCGAACAATCACCATGGATGGAACCATATATTGCAATGAATACACAACGACGAGCAAAAGCAAAAAATGCATTCGAAAGAGACTTCTGGAAATTAATGAATAATTCAGTATTCGGGAAAACTATGGAAGATGTGAGAAAACGAGTGAATATAGATTTAGTAAGACAGGTAGGAGAAGAACGACGATTACGACGATTAATATCAGATCCAGCATTTGTTAGTCGTAAAATTTTCTATGGAGCAAACGTAGTAGCTGTACATCGAAGGCAAACTAATATAAAGTTAAATAAACCGGAATATGTGGGAGCATGTATTCTCGATCTTTCTAAATATTATATGTACGATTTCTGGTACGGATATCTTAAAAAGAAATATGGAAATCGGGTGAAACTTTTATATACAGATACTGACTCGTTAATTATAGAAATTGAGACTGAAGATATGTATCAAGACATGATTGATGATTGTGATTTATTTGATTTTAGCGATTACTCTCAAGATCATTGGGTAGTAAAAAATCTTCCAGAAGATCAATGGATAATTAATGAAGAAGGTAAGCGTGTATTAAAAAATACTAAAGTTATAGGCAAGTGGAAGGATGAGAATGGAGGAGATCGAGCTATAGCCTATGCAGGAGTTAGAGCGAAATGTTATAGTGTTGTGTGTGAAATTCCAGAAAAAATATGATAAAAGCTAAAGGTCTTAAAAAGTCCCTTATCAAGAAAGAACTTTCACATAAAATATTCGAAGACTGTGCTTTATAAGGAAAAGAAGATCAACCACGAACAGCTCAATTTCTCCGAAGTTATGGTCACCGAATGTATAGGATAACGCAAACAAAGAGAAGTGTTAACCCACTAGATACAAAATTGTGGATAGCTCAAGATATGGAAACGACATATTTATTTGGTGATTGTGAAATTCCGGAAGAATAAATACCGTTCTACTTATTGTAATGAATATATCTATTTTTTATGATCAATAGTAAATAAATATAACAATTAAATAAAAAATCTTAGTTAATAAAATCCACACGTTTGATATATACAAAATAACATGCATACATATAACCCACTTGCTATACCAGAATTGCTTGAAAAAATATTCACCAATCTTGAATACGGGGATCTTTATTCTTGTCTCACTGTAAATCATCAATAGCATCTCCTTCGTTTTTATTATAACGAACATGCCGTGATATCTTTTTATTAGGCACCACCTCCGTCGTAACACCCGTCCGCTTAATATTAGACATAACGGAGATTGATATTTTATTGTAGGCGGGAGATACAAAAGCGACACTATTCGACGAGCCGTCTCACGAAGTGAGGAGCCGATGTCCTACTCAAGACGAATAGCGTATACTTTCGTGAAAAAAAACGTGGGAATGTCGATAATCCGTAGTAGTAGCATATACAACAATCAACCAATCAAGATTGATAATGCGTCGTTCTATTTCTGGGATAATCGTTACATGATCTATTTCGGGGGCAGAATCTACAAGCATATAATTAAGCCGCCCGGTATGATCCATCCAATCAGAATAATTAAAAAACTGAAAATTATTAACCAATCACACCACGTCGGGATCGACGCGTAATTGCGTAACTGTACTACATAGATAATCGCTTTATTACATAGGAAAATGTCTTTCTACCACACATGCTTTCGCGATAAGGCATGCGAAAACGAAACCTGAAAAGGTTATAGGAGGAAAGAGCTCCACGAGTTTCTGTAATTTTTACCAGGTATGTATCTCGTCAATTGTGAAGTTACAAGAAGTTGAGTCCGATCATGTGAATGAATTTCTACTTATTAGAGATCTTTTCTCTTAACAGAATACGCAATATGACTGACACCAATAATGATGATATTATCAGCCTCAACCTCCGTTTCCGTAACAGTCAACGTAGTATTGTAATTTTTGTAATCGAAATTTCCAAGAATCTTAGGGTCTCCGATCTCGAAACTAGAGCTAGGAACGTTTTGGCACCCCATCTCCCAGTCCGCCCAATAACTTTCATCTCCGACAAATTTACCCAACTAGTGCAGAAAGAAGACGTATGCAACCAGAAAATGATATTTCTGTTTATTTTCCCGAGAATCCCAATGAAGATTGGATCCATATCTTTGTTCACCCTCCTCTTTCCCCCGAAGAATAATTTTCTGTATAATAACAATGTATTTGCAAATTTATTACTTGTACAGTATTAGTCACCGCTTTTTTGTAAAATAAAGTAATTGCGAATCGCATGTACAGTCAAACATCTTTATACCGATACGCCTAATAACATGATGGGTTGTATTTTCATTTTGCCGTTGCTGGAGGTCCTGAGTAGCTTGCTGAAGCGGAAGC